ATATATACATATAAAATACAGTGAAATGTTATGAATGTCTTGCCATAAATAACCATCCATTTTTTTTAACATAAAAAATAATTCGTCATAACAAAAACATTAAATTAAATAGTTTAATTTAAACTTTAAAATTCTGTAATATGACTAATTTCTGATTTTTATATAATCAAATACTGTGATCAAATAACATCTTGTTACATATAAATTATTAATGTAAGAGTCAAAAATTAAATTAAAAATAACAGGTTGATAGGAAACTTCAAAAAAAGATTCACATAATTTATAATTTGGTCAAATTATACATTATCATATTTATTCTGAATAATGTTACATGTTCATTATATAAAAATATTCATATTAAAAGTAAAAAAATTTAAGCATCTCTTTGTTTTTCAACAGATTCAAGATAATTTTTATGATCAATCATTATGCTTGAAATAGAATTCATTTTAAACTATTTCATTTCATATAGTTTAATCATACTCTCTCTTCGAATTAGAAGATAAGTAATGCCGCTTTCTCTCTTTTTCCTTGTCTGAGAGACAATATTAATTAAACATATTAAAAATTAATTAAAATGTATTAACAAATATATAATAAGTTTATACAACAATAGTATCAAGACATACTTACATAGCCTTTTCTGCATTTCGTGCCTATAATAAGAAAACAAAATATATTTATTAAATGCGATAAAAATTATGTATTTAAAATATATATTTTATATATGTATATATATATAAAATAAAAGTATTTTACATATCTCACCATTTTTAATTTATATTTTTAATGTAAATTTTCATATATTAATTCATTAAATTACCATTATTAACAATTGCTCTTAAATTGATATGATGAATATGCAACAGTACTACTAAATAAAAATAAAATTATTATGAATTAATATCAATAAAGAGGTAATTATTCAATTTAGTTTTTCTAGCTCCAACATTGATGAAATTATTTAATACATTTTATATGAAATAAAAAGATCCGGCAGAAAAAATGTCACTCTATTCCACGAAGCAAAATATTAGCACAGTATATACAATACAGTATATACAATAGTATATAAGCAGCCATCGACTAGATTTTCAGATTACTTGCAGTGAATTTCGGAACGCAGCCGATGTGTACGAAATTGAATTACACATGCGCGAGTTAAATAGGTAACCAATCAGGGATCTGCTCTTTATTGCTGCACTGAACTGCACTAAAATGTTCTATCTCGCTTTCATCAATTTCAAATATATTTCGTTTTAAGTACAACGGATGTATTACATACACTAGGGCTGCGTTCCGATACTGGCAGTACTGAAAATCTAATATACGTGACCTGAACTATATATTTCAGTACTGCCAGTGAATATCGGAACGCAGCCTAGTTCAAAAAACGCCTAGTTAAAAAAACAAATTTTATATCACTAAGTTTATATTTCACTTTTCCTCTCTTTTATCATTTCCTTTAATTAAAACTAATAAATTACTAATGTACATTTAATGTCTTTTCTCTGTAATATTATCGTTACATTTCTTCATGATGCACCATGAACTTGATTTATGAACCGACATCTTTCCTTATATTTTTTTTTTCTTTAATATCTTCTTCTATCTTTTAATTCTATCTTCTAATTCTAATTCTAGTAAGAAAACAACAATAACAATGTAATAAAAAAGAATAACATATGACATTTAACACCAGTAAAAGATGTATTTATTTATATGAAAACTTTCTTAGATTGTAGACTGTTTAATTCGCGGTGCCGCTATATTGATTGTTTCATCTTCTATTTGAGGTTGCCATGTAGAAGTGTTTAGTTTCTTAGCACGTTTTTCCAGGATACCATAGGCAAAATGATTAAGTAGGACACCTTTAGGCAGGGCAATGCCTTGAAAGCGATACAGACCATCTATAGGTCCATTTGTGAGTTTATGTATTGCTGATACAGTAACACGTCCTATCAAGCCATTATTACCCACCATAGGGCCTTTGCTGATATCCACATGGTCTCCCAAACGATATAATGTTATTTTATTGTTATTATTGGATTTAGCAATATTGGGTATCTGCTGAGATTTAAAAGGATTATCCTGGAAATAGAAATATAAAAATATTTGAACAAATCAGTTTTATGTATGTGAAACGTCTTTCTAATAAGTGTTAAAACAAATTTTTTCATACAATTTGCTTTAATCTCTTGCAAAATATTCAATTTTTAAATTATCGTAAATTCATAGAAATATAAAAAATGGAAAAATTTATTTATATTTTTATTATTATTTATATAAATTTATCCTATGTATTTCGTATCTGTTATATTACAAAAATAATACACACGCGCATATGCGCACGTACTTAAATAGAAATTTATGCACAAAATTTAATTGACATTCTTAATAAATTATCAATTAATCTTATTCTATTTTACCTGAAACATATCCAATGCAATACTGCATGGTACTTCTAACCTTTCCAATGGTATTTCACGATTTGTTAATTTAACAAAGAGTGCAGACATAGCACGTAATTCAGAATCAGTTGGCTGCCAGTCTGGCAAATCAATAAATACATCATAAATAAAACTACCTGAATTAATTGTTGGAACAGGAAAGCTATGTAAGTATATATTTATATGGTCTTTGAAAGCAGTATCTGCCACAGCACCCAGGATAAATGAACAAGTCCGCCAGAAAGCATAATTAACTGCATTTATTCGTGGACTTTGCATGGTTACTAGTTGTAACTCACAGTTGTTTATAAGTGGTCTATGCATATCCCAAATGTGGTTATCCACCAGAGCAATAGCAGACATCCTAGCAACACTTTCAGAAATATGTCTAGCGCAATCATATGGTGTAGAGATATTCTGATTCATCACCATAACAATTTCATCCTCAGCTGACTTATATTTCACCTCTATCTTTTGAATTCTACCTAATTCTGAATGTTGCCTTCGCTTTTCTTCATCGAAAAGTTGATTCTTCCGTTTTCTTATTTCTGCTTTAGATAGTGTACCAGAATATCTTGAAGACACAAACTGTGTTAATAATTTCAAACCACTTGTACAAAATTTCTTGTATCTATATGATAAAATATTTTCAATTAATACAAATAGTCAAAACTATACACAAATAATCATGAGGTAAAAAATGCTTTCAATTTTAAGAATATCAAACAGATTTTTAAAAATTTTTCAAATATTTTAACAAAATAAAAATATACTTTTATACCTATTTATACATACTCATGTAACATATTGAAATGTAACGTTAAGGTTAATATTGCGAGATAGAATTATATAAATTTTATGCAGCTTAACATGCGCATCCGTTCATTTAAAAAACAAAATTAATCATTGAAATCAATTATTTTACAGCAATAACTGTATTATTTATTAACTAGAATTCTTATTTGTAGAAAAATTATAATGATCACTAATAACAATTCATTTTTAGAAAACCTCTAGTAGAGGGATAGACACTAGAGCTGCGTTCCGATATTTACTGCCAGTACTGAAAATATATAGTTTAGGTCACGTATATTATAGATTTTCAGTACTGGCAATGAATTTACGAACACAGCGTCAAACTAGATCACATGATCAAAATTAATATAGTGAAATGGTCATTTTTGATCACGTGATCTAGTTTGACGCTAAAATGAGCATCGAGCGTCAGCATGAAAAGGTACCTTTAGACTTCTTTCTGCTAGCAGCCAAAAAAACACTGTGTGTCGCCGGCTTTATTTATTGAATGTGTCATATCTTTGAATTTATCCTACTTGATATATTTAAGTTAAATACGGTTTTGTTTAAAAATAAATGTTCCATTAAAAATAAGTACTCTTTTTAGTGTGTATATTATTCTTTGCAAAATGTTTCGTACATCAATCAAATTAAAAAATGTCATAGGTTATGTCAACGAGTTAAATTATTTGATTATATATCCACAACAACGTAAGTAAAAAAAAAAATACAAAAATATTCTGTAATTTATATTATATTTTGTCAAATAATTTAAATCGTTTCTTTTCTGATATTTTTTAGAAAATAAAAATTTTTACTGTACATTATAACACAAGTACATTATATTATAATACAAGATGGATCACATAAAATGTTAAAAGATATTTTCTTGGAATTTTTTAAAGATAAAAAGTTTTTTAAGTTTTTTTAGGATTCAGAATTTTTTGGGAATTTTTTATGTGATGATACTATTGTCGAATATGCAGGTCATAGAAGAGAACTAGCTTCCCTTTCTTTAAACAAGATTTCATGTATATATTACTGTTGTTGAATATATTAATCAATTCAATTTTCAATTCTTTATAAAAAAATTATTATATTGTCTTACTTGAAAATTGTAATTTGCAATATACAAGTATACCTTTTTTAAACAACTGTTTTCTTGATGCCAATTGATTTGTTTATAAAAAGTATGATTATTAAAAAATGAATAATTTACAAGATATTTTATATTTCAATTATGTCAATAAAGTATAGGAATAAAAAAGTATAAAATATCTTATAAACTATTGATTTCTTTAATTTTATCTTAATGCTTTTATATCTAGAGTAATAAAAAGAATTATATGAAAGTTATGATTTTATTTTAAAAAATAATGCTTTTAAAAAATATTATTAATGTTACCATTTGGAAATGAATCAATATAATCATGTATCATCTTTGAAATCACACAAGCTGAATTCCTTAAAGTATATGTATGTACTTTATTACACCATATGATATGAACTATGTATACTATAAATAAATGTGTATATATATGCATTTTATTTAATTCAAATACAATGTTTAAAAATCCAGATCTTTACCTATAATATTTTTTCTTATTTAAATCCATAAAATATCTTGACAAAGTTTGGCCATTAAAACCTAGCACATTATGTTTGTGTGTGTGTGTGTGTGTGTGTGTGTGTGTGTGTGTGTGTGTCACATGCATATACACATATACAAACATACAATACAAAGATGATTTTAATAGAAGATATGTTTTTTGCAGTTAAGAATGAATGTTTGCAATATAGTTTGCAATTTCCAGTCAATAATTTTTGTACACAAAAACTTCCAAAAAGCGCTAATGTTTTTGGAGATATATCGGGCAGAAAATTTGAGCGCTTTGAAATGGATGAGCTCGAACAAAAAGAAGAGAAATTTCAGGATACAGAAGCTTGTGTTCCACGTCGATTGAAACCGAGCTTAGGCCAGTATGCTAAGATGATTAAGTCATATATATCCAAAAACAATTTGAATTCTGCTGTAGAAGTGCTTGACTTAATAAAAGAAAATCGAGACAAGCCCACAGTATATCTATATAATCTTTTATTGTACTCTTTTGCTAGACAGGGTGATATAAAGCGATGCTTTAGTTTGTATAATAAAATGAAACAGCATGGATTGCAGCCGAATGCAGCAACATACACTAGTTTGTTTAACGCGTGTGCTTTAAGTAATAAAGATGCAATGGCTCTGGAATATTTAAACAGATTACGACAGTCGCTTTATGAGAAACAATTTCCATTGAATGAAGCACATTATAATGCTATGATAAAGGCGTACAGTTGGCACAATAAAATCATTGAAGCCTTTCAATTGGCAGACGAGATGAAGGATAGACGTATTCCCATCAGAGAAATCACTTACAACTCCTTATTCCATGGAGCAATTTCTGACAAGGAAGCTGGTTTGCGACATGCTCTGATTGTATGGCATTTAATGCATTTAAAAAATATCAAACGGAGTTTGATTACTTATAATCTTTTTTTGAGAGCAATCAGAGACACTAATTTGGGAAATTTGAAGCCTGATGATATCCTAGTTTCAGGATTGGATCAGACTAGAATTTCATTAATAGAAGGGACAAGGCCTGATTTGCTGGCTTCTCCACCTATTTTGAGTACCCTTTCATTAACAAAAAAAGAAGAAAACATTGTGTCTGATATCAATACAAAGATACAGAAAGAAACAATAAATATCAACGATATGTTAGTCAACAATCGTCTGATTTTGTTCGGTGGCCTGGAAGGATTTCTAAATCGAATGTCTAATGATGGTGTTAAACCCAACGCCAAAACCATTACACTGCTCCTCGATTTAATTCCAAATACAGTGCCTGCTGAAAATCTACTCATCAAAACTGCAGATGAGAAAGATATTAAACTAGATATAGATTTCTTTAATATGCTTATTAAAAGACGTAGCATGCGATTTGACTATAAATCTGCAAAGGTAAGTCAAAATTTTTAATTGACTATTCAGATATTATATGATATGATTTATGATTTAACAATTTAGGAGGTGATAAGCATAGCAGAAAAGAAAGGACTTTCTCCAAACGTAATGACATTTGGAGTTTTAGCACTTGGTTGCCAAAAATACGAAGATGCTAAAGAATTCTTAAAAGGAATAGAGATTTTTGGCTACAAACCTAATGCTGTAATCATGAGTACTCTCATCAGTATAGCTTGCTATAACAAAAATTTTGAATATTTGCTGTTTGTAATGAAATACATGATGGAAAATAAAATAAAACCTAATGAACAAGCTATCGAAAATTTAAAGAAGTTTTCACAAGAATTATCGAAGATAAAAAAGCCAACGGTATGTTAATAAAATGTACTATAATTATTAATTTATTTTTTTACACATTTGACTTTTTAAATTGAAAAAAATATATGCACATTCAAAATTATATATAAAATAACATTTTTTTCCAGGGAAAATATAAAGTTCGAAAACTAAAACGTTTAGAGGGGAACATCGAGAAATTTGAACAACAATATCCTAAATGGAGAAAAATGATAAAACAATAATTCATTTAACAAAATATTTTTACAAAACGGTTTTTCTTATAAAAAAGTTTATATATTGTAGATATATATAATTAATATTTTATAAATATACATATGAAAGAGAGAAAGGAAACAGTAATAAATTAACGAAGATATGTAGGACGAATTTCTTGTGTCCAAGGTCGACTTCTAGTACTACCACTAATAGCACGCGGTGGGCATGTTCCACGAATATTAAGTTTATTATATCCAGTAGGACCGGTTGGTTGAGCCCCACAGGTTTCCAAAGCCACGAACTCGTCGACATGAAGAGATGGTGGTCTTGAAGTATTTGGCGGCCTCGAGCGGAAGGGATCGGATCCTCTACCCACTCCTCCACCTACTGGTCCACCTCGTAGCGAATTAGCAAATTGTGTCCGACCGCGTACCGGTGTTACTAAAAAAATAATTATCAAATTTTCGATTAAAAACGTTACATAATTGAGCACAAAGGATTATATAATATTGTCAATTAGAAAATCTTCATTTTATTTTTCTTCAACATTTGAATATTTTTCAGAACAAGGATATAAAAATCAAAGATCACCTAATAAATTTTTAATGTTCTTACCAAACGGCTGTTTCGATTTAACCGTTGGAGAAGTCTGTTTTTCCGTCCTATTTTCTTGTTCTTCATCTTGGGGTTTTGATTGTAGAGTTTGAGTAGCATCATCAGGAGGTACTTTAGAACATAAGTTTTGTGCCTCAACTAACAAATTAAAATCAGCGGGTAGTAACTCAGTAGCCAATGCCAACAAGTCAACGGTATCCTCAGTTTGTGTCTGATTAGTTGAGAATGAAAATTTTTTAATCCGGGCTGGACTATTATTAATTGTACAAAGACATCTCTGAGAGAACTGATTCAATAGTGCCTCTGGAGTAGGCAATAGAGGCTCCAACATCTCCGGAATAGGTTCTTTTTCTTCTCTTTCTTCAGCGACTCTCAACATTTCTGTCAGCTCTTCTGCACGTTTAAGTTTTTCTAAAGGATGGTTATTCTTTTCCCAAGAGATCAAATATGCTAACTGCTGCGCACGCAAATGTAAAGTTCTCGCTTCTAAGTCCGAAGAAATCAAATTCTCCAAGAAGGTTACAGTTAAATCTACAATAGGATTTGTTTCGGACTCTTCCAAACTGGACACATGATCCAATAGTGTACGCAAGGCACTAGGATTATTCTCCAGACAACTTTTTACATGATACAAACCATAATTGTGATTGCTGAGAGACAAGAGGATGTGCAACGTATTTTCTATCACGTCCAATTGGAATTTTGTGCTAATCGCTAAGATATCAATTAGAGCCGCGAGAATAGATAAAAGAGGTTCCTTGCTAGGTACAGAATGCGTCAGTTTCTTCTCAAAAGATTCATTATCTTCTTGTACTAGACTGAGACTATGGTTGCATAGAGTTTCAAAGATACCAAGGATTTCGTATTGTATACTAACATCATTGCTATTTTTCAAAGTAGAGCACATCATCTCAATGACCGGTGGATATTTTTGATCGGATTTTACTTGTGCTCTAGAAGCAGGACTAGTCAGTGTCAACAAAGTAGCCTTCATAGGTGCATGCCTGGCTAAATCATTAATTAGAGCGAGAATAGGAACGTTATTTTCTAGAGGAGTGGTTAGGATACCATCTAAAAGACATCTACCAACCAAAAGAGCCGTCGGTGCTGCCAAGTCGCTTAATTGTTTACAAACTGTCGATAAAAGGAATAAAACCTCTCCATTCCAACTTGAGCAGAGTAGTCGAAGAGTTTCAGTAAGATTCGCAGCTTGAGCTTGAAGATGTGCTGACCAGAGCTTTCTTAGACCCAGAATCCTTGTCGCATCTTCGTTGATAGTTTCTTTTGGTGTTAAGACAGGTGGTAACAAGCGAGTTAGTAACTTTAGACCTGGTACAAAATTACAGGGACGAAAAGAGATCATTTTCAAAACTTCGCCCAACATTTGAGTCCATAGCGACTTGGCTACATTGCCAGAACCATCAGAATCAACAGCTTGAGTGAAGACGAGAAGCGTTCCAACGATTTCTTCGGACAGAGTTTGTACCATTGAATTAGATGGGATAGCTTCGATCAAGGAATAGACTCCAAGCAATGGAACGACGGCAGTAAGATCCTTAAAATCTGTCGCCATACACTTGACAAGTCTTTCAAGCAATGCCCTGATCAGTTTCACGCAAGGAAGTAACAAGGCAATTAATGCCATACCTCTGCGACCAGTGAGGGCAGATCGATGAAGAAACGGTTGTTCGTAAAACTCAGATACGTTTGCCATTACGGCAATCAAAGCAGTGAGACCATCAGTGGCGAAGAGTTGGGTCAGGGCGTTTCTGTATTTAAGTTCAATGTATGGTTCTAAAGGGTCAATGTCGTCATTTGAGGGAAAAATAAGATAATGCAAAATTCTACAGGAAGTTATTAGTTGGCCAGGAAGCGATGCAGCTTTTTCAGCATTTTTTCTGATAATTGTTACTAAAGAAGAAACTTCGCAATAATCCCAATGAGAAGGTTGAGCTGCGATTGTCAAATATGACATCACGTCCTTAAGGATGGCATGTTCGCGAGCTTTATCTAATATCAGTTCTGCACGATTTTGAAAAACATCTACTCTGTCGGAATAACGAACAACTGCTGAAATTATTTCGGCAGCAAATTCGCACAGATTAGAATCCGATAAGAAAGGGATCAGAATATCTATGAAATCTGCTAAGGGTAAAACTGTAAGAATGGCGCGCAAACCGTCTGGAAAAATAAGAAAGGAGTGCAATTTCTTCAAAGTTGTCCAATCGGAAGTTTGTTTCAGACGAATTAAATGCTGTGCGATTTGGAGACGCCATGCTAGAATACGTCCAGCGCCTGGTAGCTCATATTTTAGAGCTTTCAATATTAATCGAATTACTTCAACGTCCTTCAATAAATAAAGTAAACCTTCCTTAGTGTTTGAGAGATGTAGAAGGAAACGACGGATTAACTTGATCATTTGTAAATTGCAATTTGGAGAAGATAATGTCAGTAAAAAATTATGGGTTAGTTTATGATGTTTAAAATAAGCTACTAGATGAGTGCGAGGATTACGAGTATGCTCTCGTTCAAATTCCATTTGGGCCCCAGCCGGTAACTGCCGTTTAGGTTGAGCCATTAACGTTGGAGCATATACATAGGCATTCATCAGCTCTGTCAAACCAAATTTGTCAAAATCTTTTACTTCTTCCAAATATTCATATACGTGAACTTTGCGGAAAAGTGAACTGAGAGCATATTTAAGCCTGGCTAGTTTTGCCATATCTAACATCGTTAAAGCATTTTTATACAGATTGTTTTTCAAAAACTCTTTTACGATTACTGGGCTGATCAATGCAGCATCGAGAGCTCTAAGAGCAGAAAGTTTTACTGGTAATGCCACGTTTTCACGCATACAAAGGGATAACAATTTGTACGGGGCTTCAACTTTCAACAGAATCTCGGGGCCCTTCGATAATCGACAGAGAGCTTCCGCCAAACGAACTCCCACTTTCACATGGCGCACCTTATATGCTGGTTGTGGTTGAGCTCTAGCAAGCTCCATATCTAAACCGGCATTGACAATATTAGTTAAATCATTAATGTCATTTATATTTGAGTCAAATGGCCCCAATATAGCGCATAAAGTCTCACAGTTATGAACAAACGTTTCTTTTTCCTGACCAGATGCATTGTGGAAATGTGAAACCGACTTAGAAAGTGACTGTAAAATCTCTTTGATTTTTAACAAAGTTTCACGGTTCACACGAGTGTCTTCCAAATTTTCTAATTCCTCCAAATTTAACAAGTCAGGTATCATTGCATAATTTTCATCGATTTGTAATGTTTCACACTCAAATTCGACTATAGATGGAACATCGTCAGTCATTATATCCTCATCTGATAAAATGGGTTCAAAAGGTTCACCAGTTTCTGGTTCGCCAGCTTCTTGCTGCTCTGCTTCTTCTTCTTCGGCTGAGATAGATTCGGGACTCAAAGAAATTAGAGATTCGGCAGGAGGAGACAAAGGTCGCTTTGATGACTTTTCTATTGTATTAGACATCTCATCTTCCCATTGTCTTGATTCTGTCTTTCCTGTGTCTGATGTAGATGTTCTGGATGGTTCCACTACCTGGATTGGTTGTGGTGGTGGAGTTGCTGTTACACATGTTTCCTATTTGATGATAATATGATTATATATTCAAATTTAAATATAATTAAACATTATATAAAAAGATCATAAAGAAAAAAACATATATAATTATTTTATAATACTCTAACTTAATTAGTCTAGAATCAAATATGTTAAGTCACAAATTATATCAAAATAAAAAGACATAGATTTAGATTATATCTTTATACATTTTCTAGATATCGTTTTATCATTTAGAAGATTTTTTCAAGTGAATATCATCACAAAAATAATAATAGGAAAATTTTCTTACCGATAAATTTGTTTGATGCTGATTCTCATAATACCATTCCGATTGCTGTTCAGAAATTTGCACAGCATTTTCAGGATTTTCCTCTAGAGAGCTGACACAAGCAGTGGAACCAGCTGCTGAACTGATGATTTCTTGGGGATTGTTCAGTGACTTGGTCAGAGTACCATACACTGCCAATGTTATGGTAGTATACCATCCTCTTAACACCAACCCATCTGTTGGTATTTGTTTCCGTTCACATTCCAATTGTATATGAATATTTTGTTTGTATTCTAAACCACCTAAAAATTCGAAGGTGGAAGCTCCAGGTTTGCTGAGATCATTCACAAAAAACTCAATCTCAAATTGAGAAGGATTGGTTGCTCTAGAAAAGAACAATCTCCTTTATATTTTTTGATAAATCTAAATATTAGTATTGCTTAATCAAAAATAATTCTTACAGTTTATAATGATAAAATGTAGAATAAAACATAATTACCCAAGTCGTACTCCTCCTGGAAAATCTGCCTGTACTCTGGCACCTAATGGAATTATTCTCACTTCACTGATGTAAACGGGTTTAGGAAATTGTACTAAATCCAAATTCAATTCCTAAAAAAATAATTTCTATATAAGTAATAATTCAATATAAAGTTACAAAAACTTTTAAGAAAAAGAGAATTGTTGAAACTACAAAATATTTTTTTCTTATAAAATTTTGTAAGCACAATCTAGATATTTTTTAATAATTAAGACTTATTGTAAAACAATAAAAATTATAACAATAAAACAAATAGAAAAGGATTAACAATAATAAACATTTATCTTCTTCAAAAATTAAAATATAATGACAATAGTTTCTTTATTCTATGGAATTTTCATTATTCATAATAAAATTAACAATATTAGTAAATAGTACAAGTATAACTAAATAGTATTAGTAAATTAAAACTGATAGCTACATAGCTATATAACATCTAAAACAATTAAAAAATGACAGAAGAATAAATAATTTAAATCTAGAAGTTTTTATATATTCTTTATTTCTCTCTAAACTTAGCATAAACATTAAAGAAAAATAAGATTAATCTCTTTAAAAAATTAACTAACAATTTTCCATATAAAAATATATAATATATAACAAGTATATAATTATATAACATATATATATATATATATATATATATATATATATAAAAACCATAATATAACAATATTGATGACAAAAATTCTTTTTGATAATAACTCTAAAGAATTTTTAAAGAATAATTTTTAAACAAATAGTTATTGAAACAAAATCTCTTCTAAACAATTTATATTCTTCATGGATAATGTGTAATAATGCACACAAATATAAGTCACAATTCATGATAAATTTTTTTCTAATAATAATTATAACCTCTAAAGTATAACATTTAAATATATCTGAATATATCAAACATAATAAAAAACAATAATTTTTCTTACATTTATCATAATACGTGATTTTAAGTTGTAACAAGATAAATAATTTTACATAGCTATTCCACAGATTTAATCAATATTTATTAACTAAATATAAACAAACCTCTGAAATGTCGTGAGAAAATGTATCGAAGAATAATAGTTCAATATTATCCATTTTATAAATATTTTTTTTACAGATATATATTTTTTTTTATCTATTTATTTTTAAGAATAATTTGAATATTTATTGTATTTTTTATTATAACATCACTGTTTTCTTTTATGTGTTCAAACAGCACATTCTGTATATACTTCGTTATGTAATTTGTAATATATTATCCAAAAATAAAACAGGCAATTCTAAATAGTAATTTGATATTTTATATTTTATTATATTTTTTTATTAATACTGCTTAAAATGGATCTTTAGACTATGTTTCGACATATACGGCCAATATTGAAAACTTAAGCTGAATGCACAATGAAAAACACAGGCGACAGGAAATTCGTATGAACGCGCCATCTTGGAAAAGCTGTACGTTCATTGGATATCGCGCATCGCGTGCGCGTCATCGGATGACACTCGTTTGATTACGACCCGATTGATCACTAGCCACTAGCCACTCATAGGGGCCGGCGCCTAGAATTTTTCCACTGTTCAAGCGCTGTAAGTGGTTAGTGGTCAATCGAGACGTGGTCAAACAGGTGTCATCCAAATATTTTTAAGATGAACATTTGTAGCTTGATTTTGCTTTTTGATACATATTTTTATCTTTATTATTTATCAAGTTAAGATAATTTGAATTTTAATAAATTCTTCCAAAATTTTAATCGTACCGTCTTTTTTGGGAATAAGTGTAAAAAGTTAGATTATAAAAAAAGATAAATATCTCTCTCAAAAATAAAGTTTGTTAAGAATCTATTCAATTTAATTTTCCTGTATATTCTTTATATTATTTATTTTTCATCTCCCGCTTCAAATTTTACACATACGCATATTCTTTTTTACTTTACATAAAAAAAAACATTTAAAAAATCTTAAAAAAGTACAACTAGAGAATACAAACTCTTTTCTTTAAACGCACTTGTAATAACAAAAGAATGCTACATAATAGAGATTTGTAATTAGTAACATCCTGCGTCAAACTATCTAGGCTATTCAGCATATTTTCGATTATGATGATAATAGTTTTGATTTCCACTTCACAAATCTCCAAATGATTGATAACTTCGTGGAGCCAAGGAAGAATGCCATATCCTCGTATAAGAAGCAAGGATGCTTTGGAAATTCTAGTAGTAGAGGCGAATACTTCTAAAATTAGTTTCTAAAAAAAAAATAAAAAAATTAATTCGAATCAATATTTCAATAATGTAAAAAAATTTTATAACAACAATGAAAAAACACTTGCAGATCAAATCCATTTTATTAATACAGAGAGAAAATAATTTTAATTAAGACTGGATTCTCTTGCGGTGTGACATGAGTTGTATGATGTCAAAGGTAAGAAATGACATGTAAGAAGTTTCTTAAAAAAGTCATATAACTTTATTTTGTACTTTTCTCTTAAGATCATGTAAAAGTGTAAAATAATTCTTGAAATAATACACTGCTCAGTTCTTGAAATAGTACACTGCTCAGGTATTAGAAATCATCAGATTTCTAATTGTTTTTAATAGCAATGACTATTACTTCAAGAATTATTTTATTTTTTTATTGATTTATTGGATTTTTATTGATTGGACAGATATCTTACTTTCTGATATTTTTTTACAAGAATATGAAAATATCATGTTTTTAAGGGAAAAATACAAAAGTACAAAGGCTGCATTTCGATATTCCCTGCCAGTACTGAAAATATATAATTCAGATTATGTATATTATAGATTTTTAGTACTGGCAGTGAATTTCAAAACGCAGCCAAATTAAAATTATATGGCAAGTATATGGCACAAGAAACGTTTTGCATGTTATTTCTCGCTTCTGACGTAATTCAATATGACTGCAGCGAAAAAGCCAAGTCTTAAAAATGAAAACTGCTTTTTAATTTTATTATTGAATTCATTATTATATATGATAATATTTTTATTATTTGGGGCGTACTTATTTTCATTCTTATTTCTAATCCAGCTAAACAAATTTTATATTTAATCTTTTTTCACAATCCTCGATGTAAGAGTTGAAGTATCATGAAGTATCAAGTATGATAAAAAAAAATTATCTTACCTTGGCTTTTGCATCCGGCAGTATGCAAGTACGAAAATCCAGAAGAATTTTGAACAACATGCATTTCAGGGCCACATTTATATCGTTTTCCTCTTTTATGCCATCTCGAATATTCTCCAAAATCCAATATCGATGTGCACTATGCTCCACATGTGAACTGTGTAACAACTGCAACAGCTCTGGTATTGTATTTAAATCTAGTGCGGTTTTGGCCATTAAAAAAGTATGCAATGGCGAATAAAGTGAATGTAGAGGTTGACTGGCGATGAGCGAAGTCCTAGCTAGAAAGGTAGTTGCCAAGCAACTCAGGCGGACATCCTTCAATGGATATTTTAAAGAGACGATGCCATTTCGCAAAGCGTCAATTAAACGCATCCATAGTAATTTTTCTTTAGACCTGATAAATAAGAAAATTTTAATTAAAAATCTTTGTAAACAAATACTGTTTTAATCCTTGCTTTCTAAAGTTGCAAAAGTTGAAGACTTATCGTTTATTATAATATATAATATATGCGTTTTGATCGAATTTTCTCGTTTAAAAAGATGTTGGATTTTTGCAAGAAGAAATGAATACAGTTAATTATTTATTAAACATAAATTACTTGCGATGAATGCAAATAATTTTATGTCGTAGTAATAGTTTCTACACAGATTTAAAAAATGAAATATTTAAACTTGCTTAAAAGAAAGTTTGTTTATTGTAAAACATTAACATACGTAGTGATGAATTATTTTTTCTTATTTGATTGCCGTTTAGCAATCGATAGAATTTAAAGATAGAATAAAAAATAAAATAAAATAGAAAACAATTTATTGACAAATTACCATTAAAAGAATCATCTTTTTTTAATGTTTTGCAAATTTTTTGAAGCAATTAAAAAAATTCTTTTTGCAAATACTTAAATTTGGTTTGTAAAGCATTTAATTCAAACATTAAAAAAAAACATTTTGATATTTTCGTTCTGATATTTTCATTCTTGAAAAATTATAAAATTGAAGAAAAATATACGTTCCGAAAAAAAATTCATTCAAAGTTTTATAACAGATTTTCAACATAAGTATTTTTCAAACAACAAAATAATTCTAAAAGATTATTTTATAAAAAATAATTAAAAATTAATTTTTTGAACATTAAAAAATCCAATATCCTTTCAATTTTTTAAATTGTTCTCATACTTAGATGTTTCCAAATGAAAGTAGTATCTAGAGATGATAGTATATGCTGCCATCCGAACATCGCTTGAATCGCTGCAACACGCCGCAAATACTAATGCTAATGCACCACTCTGATTCAATTTATGATATGCCACGATATTATTTTCTGCTAATAGAGTACACAACAAAGGTAGATAAAATGCTGGATCATATACATTATTGCTTTCCTGTAGTTTATTATCCTGTAGAAAAAAAAGACACTAGATTAAAATTTTTAAGTATTCTTCAAAAATTTATATAATAATGTCAATATGATTCTTGAATTTATTCCTGTTTACAATTTATATAAAAAATTAAACTTAGAAAAAGAATTATAAAAGATATTTATTATAAAAGATATTAAAAGATATTTATAAGTTATAAACCAAAAAGTTTCTTATCAAAGTATTTAAATTACTTACTTTCATTCCTCTATGTATGGGATAATTTTTTATAGTTTCATTCACAATATCCTTATCAAACAAATTAAAGACTTCGGAAGTGGAAGGCTGTCTCCACAAAGCAGTATTTGTCTCTCCTTTTATGCTATAACGTGTTGCTGCAGCGCTTCCCCATAAATATGGCCAATATTGCTGCAGCTTAATATTATGAGACTCATAATGCTGAAGAATCTAGAAAAATATAATTCTAATATATTTTTTCAATAATAATGATAAACTCAATAATTACTGCGATTCTTACTTGTAAAATCCGTTGATCAACATGACAAAGAGTGGCATTATAAGCCGCAAGGTAAAGAGGCACATGTGAGATAGTCATTACAGAATAATTCTTTTTAGTAAGTACCTTCAGTAATTCAATCAACTCATCTGCAATTAAAATGTTTAAACAAAAGTCTAAAAGATTTGTACATTTCTTCAAGATATTTCAATTTTTTGTAACAATAATTAATTAAAAATAATTTTTGAATGACAAATTTTTATTTGTATTTGAATAAAAATATAAAAATTTGATCAGATAAATAAATATATCTTTTATAATTAAATATCTTTTTGAATGATAAAATATATTTCGTAAATAAATTCACCTTTAACAATGGATGATTCAAGCATAACATTAACAAATTCCGAATGGGACGTCGTCATTTCGAATAATTTCTTCACATATTCATCATTAATATTATTTCCATAAGCAACGTCACATAAATTACTCAGGGTTTTTAATAAATTTGATTGAGTCTCCTCATCCTTAGCATCTTTCAAACCTAATTTTAAAGAGAATCTAGTATATTGCGACCATGAATAATCCTTGCTCAACGAAGTAAAAACGAAGTTATGTGTAGTCTTTGTTAAACAGATCACTGCTCTGTTTAACTTTTCACATAAGATTTTGATTTTGTTTGTGTTTTTTGATTCTTTTTTCAATGTCGAAGTCATCACACGCAACAATATTTTTATCAGATCCATCAAAGATTTTTCTTTAGCCGTTATGAGATTTTCATATTTCTTATATAAACTTTCCAGCAATTGCACAAAACAGACGGATACCATATCGAGTTTATCACCATTTTGAGAAATATCATTGCAAATTTTTTCGCACAGGACAAGATCAAAAGTATTCTCGATAAGATAGATGATTGCCGCAGTATTTTCTTCGATCCAGGGAACAGATTTTTGTGGTTCAATTATATACGCGGCGATATCACCGCTATAATGCTCATAAAGACTTTGAAGAAACTTTTCATTCCATTTGTATTTTAAGTTGCTGCCCAATATTGCAAATACAACGTTTGCTTGTTTCACGTTTTTCACCTTGAGAAAATATTTTACCAATGATGAAATCAACTTTGTATTTTTATTGATCAAAATTGTTATTAGCTGAATTGTAGACGCGGTGATATTTTTTGTTAACAATAACGCAAAAGTATTAGTATTAATTCCAGAAACATTGTGTGGAAAAATAGATAAGTATTTTGTTAAAACTTCTTCCCATTTTTCTACATTTATTTTACCAGTCTTCAGATAAAGTAAGCATGAGCTGAATTCTTCTACGAACTGTTTATTCAACATATCGCATTTATGCAATATTGATTCGTTGCAATATTTATCCAACAATATTGGAACGATATGTCCAAACATAGACAGATTTTGCTTATCATTCGAAATAAATACATTTTTTTCCAATTTTACCAAAGTAAACAATAAGCTCACAATATCTTCCATTTTCAGTTGTAATAATTTCAATAACTCAATGGCAGTCTCGTAATTGCTACTGCAAGCTTCCAAAGAATTTTTTTCGATGACATTGCCCAATTGCGCAAGGAACTTATTTCTAAATGCGAAGAAAATATTATAGATCCCTGCATAATTGTGTTTCACATATAAATGCGAAACAGATTCAAAAACTTTTAAAATAGTTTCAGTGACCATATATTCCATCGAATTTTTCGAGGCTTCTTTGTAAAATGGTGAAAAATAATGCAAAAGAATAGGATGAGTGAAAATACATCTTGCATTTTCTTCAAGTATTACTATGTTTTCTTGATTCAAATCGATAGATTGCGAAATGTTTAAGAGAAACACAAGTATGAGTTTGCAATTTTCGTTTTGAGTTTGCCGTAAAATTTTATACCGTACTAATTGTGCTAAATAAAACACAGTCATCTTTAACAAAGTTTTGACATTATACAAAGATAATGAATGCCTAATAGTAACTTCTTTGTCGTTATATTTAAAACAATATGTCAAATAACCATCGTCAAATAATTCTGAAAATTTATTTATGTCCATCTTGAAATCTGCCAGTAATATATTACTCAGTTTTTCCAATAGTCCTAAAGATGAGAGTGTATCTTTCAAAGAAATTGGTTGATTGTCACTTGACCAACTTTGTAAATATTTATAAATTGGCAAGTTAGTCAAATCTGTTGTCATATGAATTAATAAATCTGGAATGACTTGATAGTGTAGAGTATGAACTATTACATAAGATAAATAAGCTACGATCGTGTTGCAATTTTTCTTATTTATCTTTTGCAACGCACAACATAAAAGAGGTGACATTGCCGTGCATGTTTGCATTCTGTAAAACTTATTTTCTTTATCAGATTGATTGAAAAATATATTATTTGTCTCATTAATGTCTTTCATATCAGAATTAATTAAAGATGAAACCGATGTACGTAAAATATTATAAGAGTGATTCTTGTTAAAAGAAAAGTTGCTTGGATTTGTTTTATTAAGTAATCGACTGATTATATTTTCTATCTCCATATCAAAATTAATAATTTGTTCATTAGTCTTTATTGAGTACTTAATATCTTTCGGATTTTCTTGATTAAATTCATGAAAACTATCATCAATTATAGTATCTTGCTTTACATCAAATCGTCCATTAATTAAAGACGAATTGACTGTAGAAAATTCTTGATAGAGACTGGGAGTTTTGTCACCTTTATCAAATAACTCATTAATTATATCCTTTGCTTTTTTAACATTAAGATTAGTTGTTTGATCATTTATTATTCCTTCCGTTTGTATTATAATATTTATGTATTTATCAATGTGTTTAATGGTACTTTTCAGAATAGACATAAACCATTGTGCCAATTGTTCATTCTGTTTAGAATCAGTTACTATTGAAAAGCCATTGATCCAAATATCCAGCTGATCTTCACAGATTTCAAATAAACCCGTTGTACTTAATAGCATTCTCATAGCATTATAACTATCACATGATAAATCTTTTTGATGGATTAAAGATATCAAAAAGGTGACAGCTTCTTTGAAAATCTTTTTTCTAGGTGCAAAGATGGATGAGTCTACAGCAAGTAGAAACTGTATTGTCTTCACTTTCATACAATTTATCTTCTCTATCTTAGTTTTTTCATCGTCTTCATTATCTTGAAGACTATTTAAATTTAATAGTAACAAATTCAACTGTACATTTGGAATATCTAACAACTCTGGACATATATTTTTATACGAATCAAGAACATTTAAGATAATATCAAGATGATCTATCAATTCTGGATTCTGAATGCTTTCTTGAACATTTTCTGAAGATTTTACATTGTTATCTTCAAAAACACGATTCCATATTTGTAAAATAATCTCCAAAGTAGGAACAGTCTTTAGAATGAAATCTGTTATTTGATTTTGGAGCTTAGATATTTTATAAAATTGTTTTACTGCTAAAGAAATAGTTTTCACTTGATTTATCATTGTTAGAAGGAGAGATAAAGCTTCATGTCGAATAGAAAGACTATCATGATCTAATCCAGGTAAGATAGCAATTTTTATAATCGTATTTGGGATTGTCCAAGAAAGTAATGTACTTATCAAATCGTTTGCTTTCAATTCCACAGCATAAGTTTTAATACAATTAATTGGGTCAATTGATTTCACTATCTACAAAAAGAAAATTTAATAGATTTAGTAGATCAAAAAACAAAAATGGTACTTAAAACAATAATTAACGCAACACCTAGATATCTCACCTTTTCTATAAATCTAAGAAGATAAATCCATTTAAGTGATATTCGAGGTTTAAGAAATGGTTCAATGGCATTATATTGTGACTGAATTAGATTTGGACAAGCACGTATTATCTTAACAATCAAATCTGATGGCTTCTCGTGTTCCCAAGGCTTTTCCAAGTTTTGAAGAACCGTATGGATCAGCTGATTGTGTTTATTTTGCGAACCACCCAGTGTTCGGTCATGGAAAATAACTCCATAACGATGTGATGTTAACAAAGTGATTAAGAACTCATGAACTATGTCAGTAACGATCTAAATTATAAATAAGAAAAACAAAGAAGAGTTATAACAAGAAATTGAAGTTACAAATCATATCATAAAAGATCTATAAAAAAAATTTTTGCAACACTGCTTCTTAATAAAAGAATTTTCGTAATTAGAGTCAATCTGCAAAAAGCTATTTGTATACATCTTAATATAAAATAAATTTAAATTTGTTAAACAATCTTTTTGTTAAAGACTGATATTATCTTGCAATTATGTATTAATTTATCATATAGTTACATTATAAGTAATATCATAAGATCAGGATAAAATTTTTATCTACCTTACCTTTTTATCTGTTAAAAAATCTTCATTTTCATCAAGACTACAAATTTTGTCTCTAGGCCAATTATTTGGTCCTTTCCAATTATATAATGATATTAGATTCAATATAACAGGTGTGGAGAATACATGTAATTTTGTTGTTTTACTAATGTTAATATTCTCTAGCACATATGTCTTTACAGTAGTGAGAACCAAAGTGACAATCTCTTTTGAATCATATAATAAATCTGAGAAAATACAGCACAGCAGATCATGCTTATCCAATAATGTTTTAATTACTAATGTATTCCCTTCTACAAGGAAAGCAAGAATAAAATGAATAAAACATGTCCTAACATTTTCAGGATCCATAGGTTTGGTATGTTGTACTAAATTCTCTAACACCTGTTGCTGCAATGATAGATACATAAGCAACTCTCTAGACAGATTATTATCCAAGGATGCTATTATTGCTAACAATCTTAATATCACTTTACGTTGTTTGGCACTGCTTTGTATTGAAAGCATGGAATGTACAATAGACATGTGTGAATTCAAGAGATGACGACAACTTTCTATTGCATTATTCTGATATTGAGGACATTCTCTCAAAATCCTACAAGTAGAAAAATATGATTGAATATTACTAATGAAGATGTAAATGCTTATGAACTTAAGTATTTTCAATAAACATACTTAATGAGTAAGATATTGATCGCAGAAAAAACAGTGATAGCATTAGCAGTATTCTTTCTATCAGAAAATTCTAATAACTTCAACACCTCGAGAACATTGCCACCAGCAAGCAAATACTCTAACGCAAGATCTCTTTCTTTATTCTCATTGCATATTATCACAAATTTCTTCAGAACAGTCAAGTTGTTAGAAGAAAAAAAAGTTCTCAGAGATTGTCCGTTAAGTATATCCGTTTCATTGCAATTAGCATCCTTCATGTTACCTTCATTATCTTCAAAATTTATGTCTTTTTGTATATCACGTTCAAGTACTTCCTCGATAGATTTATCGATCTTTGCTTTTTTTGTCGACGTTTCATTCTCGTTTTGTGAAGTTCGCTTACGTATTTTTTTCGACTTGCTAATCTTATCCATGTTATTGGTTTATTCGTATATGTATGAAGAATGTATAAGAAAAAAGATGTAACCACATACACACGTGTATCTTATGGACGCCGCCATATTAAGCTGCGTTTAAAAAATATAAGGCTTTCGCGCACAATTTACCCTGACCAGCGCGATGACGCGACACGCGATGCACGTTATCCAATGAGCGTACAGTACAGACAGTAGCGCAACTCCCTATCGGCACCTTTGCTATTGGCGTGTACGAAATTGAACTGCACGAAATTGAACTGCGCGAGCTAAGTAAATAACCAATCATAGATCCGCTCTTTGTTACTGCACTAAACTGCACTAAACTGTTCTAGACTTCGGTGGAAACGAGATTATTACTCATCATATCTAATTATAGCAGTTTTGAACTATATGTATATCGAATTTTGATATCAAATTTTTTATGCCAGTGAGTGGATTTAAAGAAAAATTAAATAAATATAAATGTGAAATTTTTAGCAAAAGAAACAAGAACTTGGTGGTGAGTGCAACTAAAAACGCATTGGAGATGTTTTCAAGTGGGCCAAACTATACAAAGTTGAAGACACATTTGCGTCTAGCAATTAATCGACTAAAATTGTTGGAGAAGAAAAAAACAGAGTTAGCACAAAAGGCACGCCATGAAATCGCTGACTTCATCGCTGCTGGCAAAACGGAACGTGCCAAGATTAGAGTGGAGCACATCATCCGTGAGGATTATATGGTAGAAGCAATGGAGCTGCTTGAAATGTACTGTGATTTGCTACTGGCGCGTTTTGGTCTAATCCAACAGATGAAGTCAGTATCAGTATGGTTATTTATATTGTATTGAATATATGATAAATGATACAAGATATAACTCATATAAATAATATAATAATATTTCTACTGTTCACAGATATATTTTCTTATAACATATTTTTATAATACAATTTTTTTGATATATAAAATAGTTTTATTATAATTATTAATAATATTATTCATTAAGTAACAAAAAATAACACAGATCTGCAATATTTTAACTTTTTTTTGCGTTCTGGAAAACAAATCATCTTGGAAAATAAATCAGCGAAATTGGCAGAAAAAAATTTTGTTAGCAATAAATCGATGAACATGATTGAAATCATTATTTAAATTTATTTTGGTAATTTGATGACAGGCTAATTCTGTGGCCGGATTTGAATTCAGCGCACAAAATTATGTAAAAAAAAACGACTTTTGTTTTCCAAAACGCAGGAACATATATGCATACTTGTGTAATTAATAATTGATATTTTGTGTAATTAATAATTGATATTTTTTATTATTAAAATAAGTCGGTATTTATGTATACATAATTCTAATTTATTATTTTACTATTTGCTTTCTTCAGAAACCTTGATGATGGTTTGGCAGAAGCTATATCAACCATTCTTTGGGCAGCACCTCGTATTCAGACAGATGTACAGGAAATTAAGATAATAGCAGATATCTTGACATCTAAATATGGTAAACAATATACAGAAGCGTGCCGAGAGGAAGCAATCCAAACCATATCAGAAAAATTGAAACACAAGATGAGTGTGCAATCGCCATCAAAATTACTTGTAGAAAAATATCTAATTGAAATTGCCAAGAATTACAATGTGGAATATGAGCCAGATCCACAAATAATGGCAGAAGCCCAGGATGCTATGTTAATAGATATAGGAGCCAATGGAGGAGAATCAAGAAATAATCTCGATACTGCTAGTGGAGGAATACCTCATCCTCCTGGCTTCATAGGTTTTCCACAAGCACCTCTGCTACCAGATTCTGGATTCCAGATGAACGTGGTAATTTAAATCTTGTATCTTTCGTTAAAAAAAAACGGCATAAATGTGGACATTAATGCACATATGTGTGCGCGTATGTGTATGTGTGAGTGTGCGTGTACATTCCCCAAAAATATGAAAGATATTTAATTAAATATTTCAAATAAAAATTATAGGGTTTCAAAGGAGTTATATGATTATAAAATTGATTCACTCGTAGGAGTCACTTGAGATTTTCTTATTAATTTTTTTTTTTTTTTTTTGTAGTAAAATCACATTTTTCATTATGTATGGTTCCTCTAGTTATTCTAGATATAAAAATATTAAGATACAATTGTCAAAAAGTCAGTAATTTATATGATAGTTTATATTGTATTCTAACAAACTCTAATATAAAACATAAAATATCTTATAAACTATTTATTTTTTTATAACTGTATCATAATACTTTCATATATAGAATAATGAAATGCAATTGGCATGAAAAAGATACATTAAAAAAATTATGCACTTAGCAATATGCAAATAAGTACTTTTACTTGCATATTGTATTTCATCTATTTTTAAGTTTTTTTTTTTATTAATAGCATGGTTTTTTTACATCAATTGATTTGCTTCGTTATTTTATATACAAAAATCGTTTTAAAATACGATTATCAAAAAATAAATAACTTATGAAATATTTTATATTTTATATCAGAATGTGCCAAAATAAAATATAAAATATTTTATAAATTATTGAATTTTTGATAATTATGATATTTTTGATAATTTTATAATTTAATATTTTTATATCTAGAACAATTAGAAGAATTATATTAAGAATTGATTTAATTTACAGTTAGTTAAACATAATCTTATTATTTCGATTATTACATCATGAAGAATATCATATTTTAGGATTCAGGGAAAGATACATCTTCCTTAGGATTCGTATCCCCAACATCCTCATCTTCTATTGAGAAAGATCAAAATACTCCCTTCAATCCAACTGCATTTTCGTACAACATTCCTCTGGACAATGCCAATTCGAATAAAACCGTGAATATAACGTTATATTTATTACCAAAATATTTAAAAATAACTTTCTATTAGTAATAATAATATAATAATAAAATAGTTTTGATAATTAATAAATAATAATAAATAATTTGAAAAAAATTTATATTAGGAAGAAGATTTACCACCGCCGTATCGGCCTGATTTTCCGCCTGACTTAAACAAACAGGTAAATTCATAAAATTCTCATTTTTAGAATTTTTGCAAAATAATTTTTGAAATGATTGACGTTTAGATAATTTATTTAAAATATGAAAATGTACTTGTAGAATTTTAATATCTCGCAAATAAAGCTTGCAATTATCTTCTATGTATAGTCAGATGACAAACCAAAACCTCAACCAAGGTCTAAAATGCCAATAAACAATTACCAACTTCCGGATCTGCCAGCAGTGCCGACAGAAAACAACGATTCACCTGCGAATTTACCCGTAAACGATGACATTGATTTTGATGACTTGATGAAACGATTCGAAGATCTAAAAAAGAAAAAGTAACGATCGACTAATATAAAAGTAATGTATTTGAAATACTTGATTTTTGTTTCTAGCGTATTATCACGAAACGGTGCTACATTTAATAGTATCTTCTGCAAAAAGAGGATAGAAAATTAAAGGTAATCTAATATATGCTTTTGCAATCAGAGAAATCCAAAAATGTAATTAAAAAGAATAAAGTATATATAAAGTTATTATAATATTAATTAACATTAAAATATATTTAGTATGTATCTTTTTATTATCATTATATATATTCCATGTACAGTGCTTTGTATTAAATGTATATAATACATGTGAAAATCGTATTTTTACGAAAATAATTATTTCTTGCTTACGAGAATATTTCTTGCTTATTTATTCTTGCTTTGTTTCTTTTCTCAGAAATTATATAATAAAAATCAGTTGTACATAAAATGTACAAAGTATTATTAATCATTCCAATCTTCGCATTTCTGAAAAAAACGATTATAAAGTTAATCATTAAAAATATCAGAATAATTTTATTTTCTTTTTAAATCTATTCTTATAAATCTCTTAAAAATGTCAAAATTTAATTGTACTTGTACACAAAAATTTTAATTTTCTAGTTCATAATTAAACTTATAATAAATACAATAAATTTATTCTGCAAAACATGAAAATACTAAGGTGCTCGTATTTGTTTTTAACAACAAAATTTTTAACAATTCCATCAATAAATTTGTATACGTACTTCCTTTCCTTTATCAATTAGACAAATTAAAAGATTCTGCGAGAAATAACATTTGTTCTGTCTTATAGCTGAATTCAAATGATGAAAACATTCTATGACAGCTTCTTCTATAAAATCCTGTAATTCTGAATTGTATGTATTGCGCGTCATAAACTCGATAACCGAGATTTGCTCGGGGAATCCCCTTTGATCTACCTATTAAAATCAGATCAGAATTAATATAAAATACTCTCATATTATTAAGTTTATACTAATTATAACTGCTATTCTATTGAGTTTCGAAGTCTATGTATTTACCATATTTAACTCATTGAAGAAACATTGGCTGATGCACTATAATAAATCCATATAATAATTCATTAATTCACAAATTCTTATTAAACATAATTTAAAATATATATATAAGTTCAAAATAAGAAACCTTTATATCTTAATAAAAATATATAATATATATTACATGATCTACAATAGATTGCAAAATGATCGAAAATATAAAACATTAAATAATTCAATGTACATAGAGAATATAAAGAATATAAAGAAAGAATATAAAGAATAGAAAGAAAAATGGATAAATCTCGATAGATAGGATCGTAATAATTTATTTTTTGAATTTATATATAGTTTATATATATATAGACAAATGAAGTTAAAATAAAGAAGAAGAAAAAGAAGATAATCATTATATTATGCATAATTACTGTAAATGTTTGCAATTCTCTTATTTTATTTTTAATTGATTTTGTCATTTCCTTTAACATGTATTCTATTTTGAGAGTACAATAATTCATAATTATAGATCTAATTGATACATCTTACAGCTTGCTCTTGTTGTTTATCATAGTTTCTCTGATAGACTTGGCTCGGTCTGCCATTGGAATAACTAAAGTCACGTTTGTTGCTGCCACGATTAGGATATTGCGTATTTCTCCAATTTCCATTTGTATAATTAACGGAATAGTGTTGATTGTCATTATTTCTCTGATCGGTCCCATGATTCCTTAATTGTTATATTGACATAAATTATTAAATTATTAATATTAATAATTAATATTATTTAAAGCTCTGTTATCTCATTGCAGCCATATTGATTTATTGCACCATAGGCAACAGATGACGTGCAGTAAATTTCTTGCGATCGATAACTTTATTTTTAATTTTCTTGATGGAAATATTTTATTAAAATTCTCTCTCAATTAATCCTATTTAATTGTTATTTCATTAATATACGCAATGTTCAATAAATTTTATAATATGTATTTTAAAAAATTTCAAAATATTCTTTAACTTTTCTTATATTTCTATAATATTATATTGAATTTTATAAGGAGAAATATAATACATTATGAAATCGATGAAAAATGAAATAAAAGTTATTGAAACATTACTGAATATATTTCAAAATGAATTATAATTTTTCTTATGAAATTTAATATAATATTGTGAAATATTAGAAAAATTAATGTATATTGTTGAAAAGTAACAAAAAATTTTGAGATGATAATGAAATGATAATCAATTGAGAGACAATTTTAGTATAAAATATGTCCGTTAAGATTTCCCTGAAAAACATAATTACATAGTTATGTAATCCTGAAATCTGCGGCAAACTGAAATGTTTGTCCGATATGCAAAATAATTTTTGTATAAATAATGTGACAGGTGGCCATAATAGCTGTGGATTGAAAAATGATGCTACTATAAACGAGTATATCCAGGAGAGAGACTTGGACCTCTAAGAGCTCCCTCGAGAGTAAAAAAAAGGTTAAAGTAAAAACATTTATGATTTACAGACCTTAATAGTTTTTCTCATCAAAATCAGAAACGAGGAAACATTCTAAGCTAAAATATTCAAAAAAGCAATTTATTAATGCAAAAAATTGCTATTTATGTGTTAACAAAGAATTAATAATCTCTTCCCCGAAAAAGATCCTGCATGCTCATGTTACTACAATCGGACAGATGTCACTTTGCCGCATATTTTACAGGATTGCAAAATTATTATGTTTTTTAGGGAAAATTAAAAAATAAAGTTATGATCACAAGAAATTTACATTTCTCGTCCATGATGTCATAAAACCGATATGACTACTCAAGAAAGCCGAGATAGATGTTACCAATTCTCATTGGGATCTTTCCAAGGCTGCATATTGGAGAACTTGCTGCCACCGATGAAAAATCTCGTACCAAACACATCTACGCTTGAAAAGTCATTATTATCATCGTCTTCATTCGATGAAAAATCATCGTTGTAATCATTATCAGTTGTTGATTGTTTCTTGCAAATCTGTATGATCTTTCGGTATTGATCGTTCGCTTGCTGAATATTGGTTCTGCATTTTAATGACTGTAAGTATAATAAAATTTATTAATTGAAAGATTAATTATACAGGGCCATATAAAATGCTATTTCTTAGAGTCTATTGACGATAGCGATAAAATTCTTTCTGGGTCTCTCTCTCTCTCTCTCTCTCTCTC